TACTGTTTCCATACTTGTGCCTTTCCCAGAATGTCATATAGTTGGAATCAGACAGTATGTAGCCTTTTCCAATTGCCTTTTTTCACTTGCTTTCATGTTCTTTAGTAATATGAATTTAAGTTTCCACCATGTCTTTCTGTTGCTTGATAGCTCCTTTCTTTTTATTGCTGAATTATATTCTGTCATCTGGATGTTCCACCATTTATTTATCCACTCAGCTACTGAAGGACAGCTTGGTTCCTTCCGATTGTTGGCAATTATGAATAAAGCTGCTATAAATATTTGTGTGCAGGTTTTTGTGGGGATATAAGGTTTCCCATCGTTTGGTAACTACCTGAGAGTGTGATTGCTGGAGTCTATGTAAGCTTGTGTTTAGCTTTGTATAAAACTGCCAAACTGTCTTCCACAGTGGCTATACCGTTTTGTCTTCCCAGGGTGGTTGATGTTAATATTGGTGATAAAGCAAACTGCAACTCATCACAGATAGCCTCTGAAGGATCCCGGGCGGAGCATCTACTGCCTCCCTGTCACTGCAGACTCTCTGCTGACCAACCCCCAGGCCTCTCAGGACGGAGGCTGGCCCGTCTGCTGTGAAAGCTCAGCACAGCAGGCCTCTTCTCACCAAGCGCTGGGCTCCTGCTAGCCCCAGAAGTACTTTCCCCAGGAACACGGTCGGCTCTCATATATGTGCCAGCCCCATGCGAAGCACTGAGGACTGAACAGCAAGCTTAGTGCTCAGTGTCCTCTACCAGCCACCGTGGAGCTCAGCTCCCAGGGAAAAGCCAGCCTTGCTGGCCCCAGATGAGGTCCTGCACCAAGTGTCTCTCCTTGTTCTCTTACTTAATTCTTGCTTCGACCTTGTGAAGTAGAAAGTAGGTTGCATTCTTATGCCCCTTTTGCTGGTAAAAATCTGATGCAGAGAGAGGTTAAGTCACTCACCCAATGTCACACAGCTGGTCAATGGCAGGGCAAGGCTGGCTCTGAACCACCAGGCATTATGGTCTCCTGGGAGCTACAGACCCTGCCACAGGGCCCATGACCTGGCTGTCCTCCCAGCCACCGTCACTCACTGCAGGGCGGCCATGTGCTCATCTTCCAGCAGGTGGAAGATGAGTGTGGGGGCATGAGTGTTTGTGGCCACACATTCACAGACAGACACTGCACTCCCACCTTCCCAGAGTCTTCCCACACCCAAGGCAGAGAGAAGAGGGATTGATGACAGGGAGAGAAAGGGATGTCGGGAAAAGCCTTGGCCAACAGCACTCTGGTCAAGGGCATGTTTCTTCCCACAACAGCAGGCTTGAGCCAGAGCCCATCCACTCTACTCCCTGAATGCTGCTTCCGTTTCTAACCTTCAGAAAAAGCCAGGAGCATCTGTCCCGCAGAGGCCAGCCCCTGACAGACAGCACCAGCTAGTCACCGAGCCAGGGACTGGAGAGAGAGAGCTTGGATGATGCCCTCCTGCCCTTTTCCAGCCATTTTTGGAGATTGGAGAAAACAAGTCGTTAGTCTTGAGTATTCCTTAATGATCTAATGAGAGCAAGGCAAGCCAGGTAGTCGGGTTTGAGAGCACCCAGGTCAGGGCCTGGGAAGGCACCTGAAATGATTAAGAACCTTGTTCTGGCTGCAGAGGCGTGAACTCATGCTGTATCTATCCAGAGGTGAGGGGCACCTGGAAGATTGGGTCGGGGAGAGGCAGTCACTGCTAACTCGGAAGGTCACTAGCTAATTTCACATTCTTAAAATCGAATCTAATTTTGATTTTTCTAAGTTGGAAGACCCTTTGAGACTACTCCCTCGTTTTGCGGATGAGAAAACAGAGGGGACGAGGCTTATTCAGAGCTCCTGTCAGTCTCTTCCTATCTCCCAGGCCTGGATTTTTTTTTTCTTTTTCAATTTTAACATTATTTTTTGAATCTTAAAGTACGTTCCAAGAAAAAGAATCCAGGACACAGAAAAAAATTACCCATGCTATTTATTCGCTCTCACTTGGAGAAGCTGTTAGCGCTAATGACCTTTCCAAATTAATAAAATCTGTAAATGCTCAATTGTTTATTGCACACATTGAGTTATACCTCTAAGTGACTGGAAGAAACTGAACATCTGCCTGGAATATTTAGCTGCAGGGCCCTGCAGCCAGCAGCCATGCTTTGTGCCCTGGGCAGGGAGCTATGGTTAGAATTCCCTGAGAAAGGAGGCAAGGCAATCTGGCAGCCATGGTGTACTCAGCCCTGAGGTAGAGCCTGCGGTAGACAAAAAATGTTAGTAATAATCGTTGCTCAGCATTCATTTCCAGGACTTATTGGAAGAGGCCAGATTTTCAGACAAGAACATAAGATAGTACCTAAGCAAGTGTGGCATTACCAGCTGTGGCATTCAGAGAAAGTACAAGTGGGAGGGATCTGGAAGCCTTGATGAGGGAGGTGGACTTTGATGTGGACACAGTAGAAAGAGTAAGATTAGGTCAGATGGTGGGCACAGAAAGGGGCTTTCTAGGCCAGGGGCATGAAGTGAACAAAGGGTAACAATGAGAGTGACATAGGAGTCCAGGTTCCTAGTGGAGAGAGCAGGCAGGGGACCCGGGGATAGGCCTGGTTAAGTGGAGGAAGGCTGAGTTCTGGAAGGTGATGGTATTTGGACTTCGAGAGGCAGGAACAGGAGAATCCCATCTCTCAATGCTCAGACCCCTCTGTCTGAAGCCACATTGCACAAACATCCTGCTTATGAGCCACGGGCTCTGATGTAATTTGGCTTTCCCCACTGAAATCTCATCTTGAATTGTAACCCCCATAATTCCCCTCTTCTGTGGGAGGGACCCAGTGGGAGATAATTGAACTATGGGGCTGGTTTCCCCCATACCATTCTTGTGGTAGCAGGTGAGTTCTCATGAGATCTGATGGTTTTCTAAGGGGCTTTTCCTCCTGTTTGCTCCGCACTTCTCCTTGCTGCACCTATGTGAAGAAGGACGTGTTTGCCTCCCCTTCCACCACGATTGTAAGTTTCCCGAGGCCTCCCCAGCCTTGCAGCACTGTGAGTCAGTTAAACCTCTCTCCTTTATGAATTACCCAGTCTCGGGTATGTCTTTATTAGCAGTGTGAGAACACACTAATAGAGGCTTCCTGGCCGTCACACTGTCTAGTATATACATCCTTGGGTCCTACTGAGTCTCCTTGTCCAAGCTTGTGAATGACACAGGTCACTCTGACTTCTAAGATGAAGACGGACAGAAGTCTTGCAGAGAAACAGTGTGGAGCTGTATGCTGTGCTATTGTTGCAGGGGGATTTTTATTTTAACCATTCGTTAAGTGTGTAATTCATTGACATTAAGTACATTCACACTGTTATGCAATCATTACCACCATCCATCCTAGAACTTCTTCATCTTCTCAAATGAAACTCTGTCTCCATTAAACAATAACTCCTCATTCTTCTCTCCCTGCCCAGCCCCTGGCAACTGCCATTCTACTTCCTGTCTTTATGGATTTGACTTCTCTAGGTGACTCATATAAGTGGAATCAGACAGTATTTGTCTTTTGTGACTGGCTTATTTCACTTAGCATAATGTTTTGGAGGTTCATCCATGCTGTAGTGTGTATCTGAATTTCCTTCCACTTTAAGGCTAAATAAAATTCTGCTGTATGTATATACCGTGTTTGTTTATCCATTTCTCTCCCAACATTTGGGTTGCCTCCGCCTTTTGGCTGTTGTGAACAATGCTGCTATGAATGTGGATGTACAGATATCTGCCCCAGAGCCTTGCAGGAGGATTGAGCTTTAAAAAAAAAAAAAAAAAGCGCTTCCAGCTTTCAAATGATCAGGGCTGCTCTGCCGGCCCTCGCTGCTATAGCTCCACAAGGAGCAGCTTGCCAGCTTGCCACTGCCCACGTGCTAAGATCCTCCTCCCTTGAGCAGAGCTGCACAGCACCCTCTGCCAGGGACACAGATCGAAGCTGGCCTCTCGTGCCCACTGCCTTTCCCCATTCCGAGCTAAGCTGCTCAGTCTGTGCTTCAGCCAGTGTCAAGGCCTCTTTGCCTTCACTTCTTATCCTGAAGTGCATCAGTCATGTCGAATTTGTCCCTCACTGAGGTAGCAAATGCTTTGTCCTCTCGCTTGGTAAGTTCTTTTCCCCACCTTCGAAAATGTATTTAGCCGCGATTGTAAAAGCCAAGTCAAGTCACTCATGAGCAGTCTCCCTTCCCATCTAAGGATCTTCCCACTTTCCTACTCCCTCCAAATATCCACGTATGCATCAGCAAAACTAAAGGGCATCCTGTCTTGAAACATCACTGCCTCTGGGCGTTAATTGCCCAGACTCACATTACAACACATTACAGCGGTGACACACTCAGGCGAAATGCAGGAGAATTCACAGTTCAGGTTAGCGTTGTCATTAACTCAAGTCTTTGGTGTCAACTCTCTCTCGCCCCGAACGTTCCTGCCTGGCCTTACAGTCAACCTCCACGATGCATTTTCTGGCCTTTGTTGGTTTGTGTCAGCTCTTGAACATTATTTAAATGTAGTTTGGGGTCCATGAATGCAATTACCATTGTGTTATTATTCAGAGCCAGATTGTTAAGATGCAGGCAGCTGTACAAGGAGATGCCCTGTGCTGTGAGGTCCAATTTAGGAAGGCCTTCCGAGCTGCACGCGCAGGGTTGCTAGGCAACCCCATGCTACAGAAGTGGAGGCCTCACTCCGGAGTGGGAAGAAGCCGGGGCGCCTTCAGGGAATTGGAGGCAGTGGTCAATCTGAGACTGGCACAGCGCTGGGAAGGGAGAGAGAGGCGGTGTGGGCCAAGCCCATGGGCCTGGAGGTGTGGGATCCTGCGAGGAGTGAGGGGCGCCCACCCAACTAGGACGCGGTGTGCCCGGGGAGGGGGGAGCGCTGCGGGGAATGAGAACACAGAGAAGGTGCCGAAGCCTGAGGTCGGCCAGGAAACCGCTGAGGATACCCAGAGCAGATGCTAACATGATTCTCCGTCCCTTTCTTCTCTTTGCAGGAAATGAGCAGATTTGCAGAAAACCTGGTGTCCTGAAATTTAAGACTAAGACATCGGTGCTTGTGAGTATGAATTTTGCTTTTTTAGTTCTGTGGCTTAACAATGTTCCTGGGAAGTGGGTGGATTTCCCCATTAGGGGAAAAGAACATGGCCTGGATGGGATCGGCTTTTGGTTCTTCTTCTGGAGGGTTCCTCCCTCAGGGTGGGGCTGAACCCAGGAATGTAAGGCATTGAGTTGAAGGAGGGTGGTTTGAACCCTGGCTCTGCCCTCTAAGAGGAGAATGTTCCTACTGGCTCATGAAACAGTCACTCCCTTGACTTGATTGCTGTGCAGGAGAACAGGACTCCTCTAGAAAAAAAGATGTGCATTTTTTTTTTTTACTTGGGTCCACAAACAGTTTGTATAATTTTAAGTTTCCTGCTAGGTAGACCCCCTATTCAGAACAGTAAATTCTCATAGAAGCCATTTAACATTGTGTTAAACTAAGTGCAGTCACAGGAACCAATCTATTAATCCATTTGAGAATGTTATTAATCACCAGGTGCCAGGTATCACCTGGAGGCTCTGGGAAATCCACGACAAGGAGCAGGCATAGGCTCTGTTCTGGAGGAGCTTTCAGTCCAGTGCAGGAAGAGATGACACCAGCACATGAGACAAAGAACTTTATGACACGGTATATGCACCAGCTCTGGCTGGCATGGCCTGGGCAGAAATGCTACAGATGGGAAATGGTTAGGGAAGACTTCTGGAGAAGGAGGGGTCTGAACTGGGCTGATGAGGAGGGAAGCCATTCCAGGGAGGAAGGAACAGGGCATGGGGAGGATGGCGTAGGCATGGGTCTGAGGGCAGGAGGGGAGAAGATGCTGGTGAGGTTGGACAGGGCCAGGTGCTAAAGGGCTTGGCATGACTTCAGGAATGGTCCAGATGCAAAGAATCAGGGTGGAATAAAGGATTCTTCATCTAGGTAAATAAAATTTAGTTTCGGCCAGTTTGTCGGCCACTCCATGACATGAAAATGGCTGCATGAATTTTTCACCAAACTTGAAGTTGTATTTGAGATCAGTCTATACACTGAGTAGATTACAGGAAATTTACATTGGAGATCTTCCCTTTGTCTCAGAGAGAGACAGTGAGGGAGACACAAAGAGAAACAGAATGACAAGGAGAGAGGGAAACTTCTCCAGACAGCTGCAGTCAAGGGCTACCAGAGCCTTGTGAAGCCAGTGATGGGGTCACATTCTGAGCTCCCGGTGGACAGTCACCAATACAGCACTCCCAACTATCCACCTGCTTTTTCCCAGAGCCGCTTCTCACACAGGGAGCTCTGGATACTGTGCTCAGGATGAGAGGTGGCTGGGATTTATTTATTTAATGATGATTGATTAATATATGTTCCAAGCGAGCAGGAGAAGTAGCTAGTTCTAAATCTCCATCACAACAGCCAGTATGCACATAGCATGACCAGTTCACAGCATACTTGATGGTATTGCCTCAGAGGTGCTTTACAAAGGCTCTGTCAGGTATTCCCACTCTGCAGATGAAGAAACTGAAGCCCAGAACCATTCAATATTTGCTCTAGTTTGCTCTGCTAGTAAGTGGCAGAGCTGCCTAAGAAGTTCACACTGACTTTCCACTGCACATAACCGGACATCGCTCTAATGATGCAACAGCCCTTTTTGGCTCAGCCCCTGCCTCCTGCTTATTCATCCTGGGGAAGAAGAGTAATTGTCGTGCTGTTCCACAGGGTCTGGTTGTCGGAACCCTGTCTGTTCTGAATGTTCGTGGTTTGCTATTGCTGGCTCTTGTGGACTGTATGATGTCAGACTGGTGGTCTTCGGCAAGGCAAGTAGGTGGTTATGGTGCCTTCAAGGAGGAAGGCACCTGGGACTTGCAGCTCCTGGGACAAACCTCTGAAAAGATGCTGGAGAGTTTCATTTGTGCTGCTGGCAACTGACTTAGGTTGGGCTTGCTAGAAGTAGAGCCTGAGACAGGCGTCAGTGGCATGAGATACAGCCAGGGAAAGCTCTCCGGAAACGCTTCTCAAGGAGGGAGGGAAGCAGGATAGAGAAGCAGGAGCTGAGTGAGAATGTGGTCTCAGGGCAGGTCTCCTTGGGCTTGGTCCATGTCAGCTGCACTGCAGTGATATCTGACTTGGAGGCTGGGGACAGGGCATGTGTGTCCCCTTATTTGGTCAGCGGCTGCCCCAGAGTGTTGCTGGTGGTCCCACCTCCAAGGCATCACCTCAACCAAGAGCAAGGACCCGAGAATGTCACGAGTCATTCTTGTGTGCGACGTTCAGCAGCTGGGGAGTGGGTACCCCCAGCAGGTACAGAGACCTGGGCAGGGCATTAATTGCATTTATTCTCATGCCTGTGATACCACCATTGTAAAGACAGCCAAATGTCATTTTCACTGACCTGGCAGTAATTTTCATTGCAGTAAGGTTGTATTTTGGGAGTATAGGTATTAAAATGGAAATGAGTGCCAAAGTCTGGTTTTCTCAATGGAGTGTTTAAAATGCATAAGAACTTTACAAATGTTTTCTAATTCTTTAGAGTTGCTGTATAAACAATTGCTATGAGAACTGTAAATTATTTTTAATTCTAATTGCAAATAATTATTTTATTTCTAATTACAAATAATAATTATTATTTAAAGCAAATCACACAGTTTGAGGAACTGCACTACAGCCCCTGGAATTCCCAAATATTTAAAATAATTTAAAGTGTCACTAACTTCACTATTTAGTGCAAATGATTGAGGTCTCCTTGCATGAATTACCTGAGGTGATCTGCACATTATTTAATGACTTGCTGAAATATGTATTGTTTCCAAAGTGCACGTAGATTTCCTGTACTTTCAGCTCCATGTGAGTTTTCACTGTGGTTTCCTTTTATGAAATGATGTGACTATGATTTGGAGGTACTTTCTCAACACAGGATCTGGTCCAAGACGGAATGGGTTCTTTTGGTGGTAAGCCCCCTCTGATAGAAGGGGCTGAAACAGTAGCTAGGTCGTCTGTCAGCACGGTTACACAGCTGATCCACCCTGCCTGACAGCAGGCTTAGAAGACGTCTAAGGTCCTGTCACAGCTGAGTCACCTCTGTACATCTTCGGTATCATCATGGCCTTTATAGGCCATTTACCTCATGTGAAATCCAGGCTGCGGGGCTCACACTGGGCACTTAACTTCTGAAGTTTGGTCTTGAAGGCTTTGTTCGATGCCTGTATACATTTTCCAAATTGAGCTTATTTTGTAATCTTGTAGGCCTGGCAGATACGTTTTTCTCTTGCAAGCAAGCTCCCTTCTTCCCGTTCTCCTTCATGTTTACACTCTCTCTCAGGTTACAAGAAAATCCTCTAACTTGTTCATGACCTGTTCCAGCCCCAAGACAGATTTTGGTGGCACCCCCATGAGGCAATGAAAAAAAAAAATCTCATTTCTGTTCAAGAAATAGAATCATTATCTTGATTGAAATAATATCTTTCCTCAACCTGCAACCAGATAAAGCATCAAATTGGTGCAGTTTCCTTATCACTGCACGGAGTTTGCAGGACACAGAATAATGGCCTGTCAGCTGTTTCTGGTGGGGTGGTTTCTGTAATACAGAGCCCACAGCTCCTGGCCTGATTTGGATTATACTGTGTCTGGTGCAATGTAACATAATTCAATTAATGACAAATATCATTATATTAAAAGAAGAAGATAGCGTAGAACCTAAAACAGAACAAGCAATATTGTTTTCATTAGCCGCATCTAACATGCATAGGCAATGGTGGGGGGGGACTGAAGGCTACAGATGTTTATATCCTTTTATTAGGATGTGAGCGCTCTGGAACCCTGCCACCCCCTAGGCCTGAGCTTCCAAGGCTTTCGGGGGAGAAAGGGGGTGACTGGGCTTGAGAAGGTGGACCAGCTCCTGGTTTTGGATAGCAAACAGGACAGCCAGAAGCCAGCAAGCCGATATGTTTAGGAAGAAGGCTGAAAGAGCTGTGGGTAGGGAGGCAGGGGGTCTGGATTACAGTCCTGATTCACCGTCACCATCGTGCAGCCTTGGGCTCTTCGAGTCTCAGTCTCCGCTTTGTTCAGAAAGGACAACATGGGGTATGAGGAGAAGAAAGTGAGGCAATGTTTGTGCAAAGCCCATAATACCGGCTGTACCTTTGATGCTTCCTGTCCCTCGTCCACTGAGTGGGGAGGCTCTGCTCCAGCCCAGGCAGGTCTGCCAGGTGGTAATATGCTGATTCCCACAAACATTCTTTTCTTCCGCACCACTCAGCTCACAACGCTCCTGCTTGGAAGGTTTCCTTAGCCTTAGAGAGCGAGGAGACAGAGTGGAATACGAACAGCATTAGCTCGGACTCCAGTTCAGGCCAGGCCTCGCTATCTGCTTGCCCCATGGCTTGGCCTCAGTTCCCTCTTCTATGAAAATAAAGGGGTGACTCAGGGATCTCAGGGGCTTGCCTTTCTAAGCAACTACTCTGTGGCAGGCACTATTTCAACCATTTTACAATTATTAATTAACATACTCCTCACAACAATCCCGTGCATTAGAAACTGATACTATCTGCTTTTTACAAGGGAAAGTAACAGAGAGGTTAAGTAACTTGTTCAGGGTCACACAGCCAGTAAGTGCTAAAATTAGAATCTGAAGCCCAGCAGTCTGGTTAGAAAACTTAAAATGGACTGCATCAGGACAAAATAATACAGGTCAAACAGCCTGGGCTTTCACCAGACACTAAACCATCATCCTATATTACAGAGGAGTAGTAATAATAATTGCATCTTTGTGGTGTTCTAAGAGGCCATAGAGGTTGTTCCTATGCTAGGTGGGAGGTTGAATGATATTCTGACCAAGACACCTAATCCTAGTAGCTCAGATCTCTTGCCTTGAATCCCACAAAACTGTGGCTAGCTGTATGTACACTGTAGAACATCAAGGTATGCAGACTCTGCCTTCCCACTTACTTGCCCTCATCTGGCCTATCCCCCATCTCCCGGCAGGGCCCTCCTGGGCCCTTGGGGCTGTGCTGTCTTCCAGGACTTCCTCAGAGAAGGAA